AGAAACTCTCTGTTCATCTGGTGCCAACCAAAAGTCATAGCCAATTTTGGATGGCATAAAAACAAAGAGTGCTAAAACAAGCCAGAGTTGACAGCAAGCACCACCCTTCAGGTTTCCTCCCACTACATTATTATACACTGTGGAGTCAACAAAAAATACATGTTGTGATAAATTCTTCAGTTAATCTATTTCAGTCACAGCCTGCAAAGAGCACAAAAGGACAACAAAATTGAAACAGGCCCGATTTTTTTCTAGTCCTACTTTGACAAGCTCACAGTAAATGGTACTGTGAGATGTGCAAATATCACATCTGCTGTCTAAAGGGAGAAAAGGTCCTTTGCTTGCTTTGATGAGGTACTATTCTGCAAGTAATATTTTCGGTTGTTGTGAGTGCAAATGGTAGAAAGCAACGGGGACCACTGCTTCCCCATTTCTGATATACAAACAATGATGTTCATTTTGTTTGCCTTTGTTTTAAAGCGAAACGCAAACTTTTAGAGAAAAAAAAAATAAATAAAAAAAAAAATCGCAAAACATGAAATGGGTCTATTGTAATAAAGAAACTAAAAGTAATTACTCTGTTGCTTTTGTGCGAGAACAAGACCAAAGCAGTTAAATATACCTAAATACCTTTAAATATTCAAATCTGAGTGGCTTGGCTCTCTCTGCTTGTTAATAGCTCCTGCAGAGGAGTCCTGCAGAGAAAGTCTGTTTAAAATCAGGATGAGTAATCACAAAACAACACAGGCACAGCTTGTTTCTTATACAAACATGGACATATGAACATGACTAATTTAAATTGCAAAAAAATATTTGAAGCAAGCTTTTGACATTTTTAATGAATAAAACATTTCTATATTTCATGGTTTATAAAATAAAGCAGTACTTCTACCAGTAAGTCACATTGAAGTTTGGTATCCTGTTTATCATTTTCAAATATAACATTGATTTCAATAGCTAAGGAAAGCTTTCTGGAAAGACTAAGTTTGAAAAGACATAAACTTCCTCCAAGGGCTCAGTCTTAGAAATGGGACAATGCATTTTATCATTCAAGGGAAGCTAAGAGTAGACATGCTCATCTGATCAGAACTTCTCCTTTTGAGGTTTTGAAAGCACAATAGAATGGGTAAATATTAAGAAAAGCCAAATAAAATCATCTGTTAACCCATGACCCATTTTCAGAAGAGAAAAACATAATGGATGTACGGTTGTTTGAAAAGGTTTGCCCCCTGTCTGATTTCATCTTTTTTCTTTTTTTCTTTTTTTTTTCCGTTTTGCAACACAACCAAACACAAACACTGAAGTGTGACGAACATATCAAAAAATTAGAAAACAGGAGGGGGAAAACACTTTCTCACACTACTCATTCAGACTTTTACACCAACTTTTCAGGAAGTTGCTTGAACAGCTTTAATCCTCATAAAACTTTTCCGAATTTGTAAATAACACTTCTGATCTTTTTTTAATGCCCATCTCCAGCAGTCATTGGTCAAGTGGCAGGGTGCAACAATGGTCCCACGAACACACAGGAGAAATCTGCAGGACCTGTGCCCATATGTAAGGGCATTTTTAGATTTGTCACTTCACCTAGCAATCATGTTTCTGGACTCTGGGAGAAAGTGGTGCCTCCATAGGGAACCCTTACATGCAAGAGGAGAACATGTACACATCATGCAGAAACATAAAAGACCAAATACAGGACCTCCCTGCTGAAAAGTCACAATCTATAATTGATGATCATCTCACCATCTACATCTGAGTTTAAATTCAAATGTTCCATTATCAGTCTTTAAAATGCCCCCAAGTGGCAAATATTTATTTGCTGAACTATTCCAAAGATGGAGCCAACCCCCCCCCAATAGCATCCTACTGCAGAGTCAACCACTCCAAGTCTATTGATGGGAAGAATTTTAATAATTAATAAAGCAATTAATATCTGAATCCTGCAGTATTAAAGTTTTAAGGGATCAACTTGACGTAAAATGCAATATAGCATGTGAGGTCTATATGACATGATAGGAGTAAGATTTTTGCAGCAAATGAAAAATAAAATCCTTAGATTAGTGGTGTTAAACTCATGCACTTAAATCCTACCGTCATGCTTCTACTGAACATAACGGCATGCTGAAGGTAAATAACTGTTGAAATGGATTTGGTTGGACCAGAAACATGTCTAAGTTTTACACAACAGACCCCTCAAAACAGGAGCTGGGGACCACAACCTTAGACAGTGGCTATGTTTTGCCTGCCCCTGAGAGCTGCTTTCATATAATCCTTTAAAGAAATGCTGCTATTGCCCGCAGTATAAAAGATATTTACGCTATCTGCAGGCAGGCTTTTTGTACACAGAGCCATGAAGACGGATCCTCCGTTTTTAGCAATATATCTGCTAGGTTCACTAGCTGGTCTATGATAAAGTTGGTCATGATAAATAAAACTGGTATTTCAACCAATGTCAGGGGAAGCCTGATTGTCTGCCTTCCTGAAATAGCCGACTTTTCTTTGTACAAACATCCTCAATCATCCAAGTTGATTAGAAAGCAATCACAGTGCCTGGTTCTCATGCACGCACGCACACACAAAAAAACGCTTCAAAATTTCTATAAATCCTAAAAGTAAACTGCTTCAGTTTGATTTGCACCTTATCCATGTGTTTGTGTTAAAAAATGTGTCACTTTAGAAAAACGTAGATCTAAAAAAAAACAAAAAAAAAAACTTTTTTAAATCTAAAAAAGAACTTCAAATTTATAATTACCAGAAAATACGTTTAAGAAAATATGCAAGTTTTCATGTATATAGAAAACTTACACAAGAATGAAAAGAACAGACTTCTCTGAAAACATTCATTATTAATCAGTGGATACCAAAAGTTTCTCTAAGGATAAAAATCAGGACATTAATGTGAAAATATTTTTTATGAAAAATGCTCTTCAACATTCACATAATTTGATGCAAAGGCAGTCAAGCATTGCCATGCTGAAAAAACCTCATCAGCTTCCCATCCCTTGACATTAAGCAATTAGCTACCTGTCAGTCTGATGACCACTCAAAAGGAACAAAGACCGGATGTGGCGAACTCAAGGCACCATAAAAGAGGCACAGTGAAACTCTGAGAGCCATTAAAATTATTATTTTTTTTTAAATCTGTCTGACTGCTTAATTTTTGGGACAGGCTTACATTTTCTTCATATTTTAGCAATGTTTGTTCAAACACTTGATATCAATGCAACCCAAAGCAGTAGGATTATATAATGATTTTCTTACAAAAAGAAAGTGATGCAACGCCATCAAAATCATGCAGGTTACACATGTATGTAAAAGTGAGGGAGATTTGTCCCGATTTTGTCATACAGTCAGTCACACACGTAAAACCAGATAATCTGTATGTAAAATGACAACATACAACATATAAGCTAACAAGGTCATCGAAGCACCTGATAAGAAACTGAAAAGCACATTTGTTTTCTAAAATAATAATAATAATAATTATAATAATAATAAAACATTATTTTACAAAATGGAGCAACAAAGAAAGTTAAACAGATGAAGGGGTTGATAAATCTCTAGGTAATATTGCAGGGGTCATGCAAGTAGTTTGAAAACAGGAAATTTGATTAAAAATAAAAAGCACTTTGAAGTCAACCGAGGAACACCAGACCACTGGGGAAGGCTGCTGGTACACTCAGTAATCTCAGCACTGTCAACATTGTGTCTGACACAGGCAAGGATGGAAACATCATGTCCTGCAGTGAAAAATGTGTTCATTATTATTTTAAGGAAAAAAAAGAGGTTGAGATTTATGTGCTAAAGTAGTTTATTGTTGGACTTTTGAATGAATTTTTAAAAACAATTTTGTGTTCTGTTGTCACTGAATGCACATATTTTGTGCACCAAAAACTATATACGCACTATAAAATATGGAAAGGGTGCATCATTTAGCCTTTATACATCAAAAAGTAAATTCTTATACTGCATCTCAAAGTGTCAGGGCAATAAAACAATGCGTTTGTTTCAAAAAACTAAAATTAAATACAGTTGAAAAAAAAAAGAGTGATTTGAACTATGATTAACTGCATTCATATTAGCAAGAGGAACAGTTAGAAACAGCTTAGAACTGTCATCTATGTAATAATTTTTATAATGCTCAAAATAAAAACTTGCAGTAAATGTTGGTCGTTTATCTCTTAATGAGCTGTGGCAGAGATGGAGTAGCTGTGGCTATGGATTCCACTTTGTAATATTTTCTATATGAAAATATTATGGGGATAACAAAAAGTGAATCAGTCCAGAAAAAAAAGACAAATGTTTGTAAAATTAATATGCAGTTTTATATCTTAATCATTATTAAATTTTGACTACTGTTCAAATAGAAGAGCATTTGTATGCATCCATGATTTAACATTCTTATCTTTGTGGGGTCGTCAAGGGGCGAGAGGCAGGGTACAGGTCGCCGCCTGCAGGCGCCAGTCCATCACGGCGGCATCTGTATGCAAATCTAATTTAATTGGTAACAAACTGAATATCGTTTTTTTTGTTTAAATGTGTCGCACATTTAGCAAGTAGTATGAATACATGCAACAGAAGTCATGGTGTTTGGAAACAGTCTCCTCATTTTATCGTAATTCACTTTTGGGAGTTGAGGTAGATTCTATTTTTCAGTCCTCCAGCAATAATTCCCCATATATCTTACATAAAGTACTCCTGTCAACTAAAGGATGAACTGTATTAAGGCTGAGAAATTACGGAAGAAAAGTGAGATGGAAACTGAATGGAGCTGCATTTTTAAGGAACTTATTGCTTGTTCTTAAGAGCAAAAAGTTCCACAGGTGCTTACTTTCCTAATTTCAGAACAGAAATGGGGAAAATGCAAATTGCAGTTTGAAGTAAACTTCTTTTGCGCATTGTTACTACACTTTCTCAGTGCCTCAGCATGTTGGGAAGAACCGGTTACATTTTGCCAGAACTCCATTTCATACATATCAAGTGTGTTCTTCGTCTACCTGTGTGACCAAGGGCTCCAGAAGCCGCTCCACAGTCAAGGTGCGGATTTCAAGACTCTTTGGGTCCCATTTCAATAGAATAGGGGAAGTGGCAGTCGTCATGGTCTCTGTTGGGATTAGACGGACAGAAATAGTTAGGGGAAAAAAGCTGCCAATTCATAATACATTTTAGATAGTTTTAAGTGGTTTACAGGCAATATGATAACATTTGTAAATTTACAAGTGTTGAGCTGTGTAGACTGGCACTCAGAAAACCAGTACGCACTTTTGACCCAATTTCAAACAGTTGATGATACTAACTTATGATTTTTTTTTTTTTTTAAATTGACAATTTAAAAACCAAATTCACAGCATGTGAACACTTATTGGTGAATACAAAAAACTGTCTCCACCAACAAGAGGTTGCACAAAAACATTTGTGATAAACATTTGTAAAACAAAAACATTCATCCCAAATAAACTGCGAGGAATTAATGAGGCGTACACACACACACACACACACACACACACACACACCAGTCTTTGAAAGCACAGCACATTGAGGTTATTATGACAATTCCAGAACACCATTAACATAGATTAAAATGTTATTTTTGTAGGTCCACAAGGATATTTCAAACAGAAAAGCAATTCCTTTATGTAAAAGGTTAAACCGGTGCCTTCAGTACAGAGCAGACTATAGAAAATTACTTTGAATCATCAGTTATCAAAACAGAAACGAAGCAAGCTACAAGATGACACAAAATCCCCTGGAAAAACAAAAAGTTAACCGTGAAGTCCTGAAATGACGACAAAATCAAGTAAAACTGCATACATATGTTCCTCTAAATCCACTGGCACCATTTGCACGCACAGAAATATTTGGCTGTGGCAGACTTAGGTTGGCTCGTCTGCATGTGACACTGGTGGCTGCTTTTGTAAAGCTGCATTGTGACGTGAATCACTTTCATTGAAGCAACATTTGGGGGTAGGAGGGTCAAGTGACACTCAGCAAATCCTGATTCTATTCATCGAGCAAGCCAGGAGGACAACAGCAAAGCACACATAAATGGTTGACCAGTCCCCGTATTGTTAGGAACCACAATCACATTTCAAGGTCAATTCTTGCATGACAATACGACTTTCTACAAAATTTTAATTACCTAAGTTGTTAAGTTTAGCTTGGACTGGAGGAATAAGATGTTACTCTTTGTAAACATTTTGAGCTAGTTGCTATTCAGCAGAGTTTTGGCCTACATTTGTTCACAGTCTGAGCAGCATTTTGATTACTTAAAACTTTGTTGGTAAAAAAAAAATAAAAATACAAGTTGCTGCGGGTCTGGAAAGTGAGATCATTCACTGAAAACAGTATAGAAAAACAGAGAAAAGGGAGGGGAGTGAGGGGGGATCTACACACTTATCTGAGTACCATGCCAAAAAAAAAACTATTTTCTGTGTAAGCAAAACTAGAAATGGTTTCAACCAAGCAGCATTTCAGAAATCAGCTTCTTAGCTTGTCAGAGCCTTTTCTTCCACACTGATGTTTGAAAATAATTCAAATTTAGCAAATGTTATATAAGTTTACTCCAGAGGCTAAACAGCTGGCATGTGGCGTGTGGTGTGTGTCAGCAGAAGGCAGCGTTGCACTGGGCCAGCTGGGACTGACCGAGTGTACTGCCAATGTAAGTGAGGCAAAAGGGATAATAAAATGTGAATAACTATGACATATCTGGGGCAGGGGCTGCTTATGCTACTCACAGCAGTTTAGGGTGGAAGTATAGTAGGAAATCTGATAACTTTGATCAGATTGCCATCCACACCTTAAGGAGTTCACAACAGAGCACCGTCTTGAATATTTTCATGAGGTAAGAAAATGTGTAAAAGGAATCAAAACCAATGTAACATTTTATTTATTTATTTTTTTTTAGTAACATTCAGACAAGTTTTAAGTTACACAGTTTCCATATTTTATTTTATTATTTTTGCTTTGCTCCTTCTCAGGAGTGACTACAATAAGCTGTGTGAGTTGAGGTGTGGATTACAAAAGGTCAGCAGTGGTACAGTCTGCTGCCATAAATTAAGCCAAGCAGTTTAATGGCTATTATTTTTGCCTCAGTGCACTTATGGCCTTTGCTTAAACCAAGTTAACTGACCGCCAGATGCAGTGCTATTAACAACACAAAACAAAAAAAAAGCATCACTTTCTCTTACTCCTTAAAAAGCATACATAATTCAAAGTGAATATTGGGGCAGGGAATAGGACAAGTACATATAAAGATGTTATATTCGTCTAATTTATCTTATTTACGTGTGCTGAAGTGCTGACGTTTTATTTCAGCTGAAACAATTCTGAAATTAAATTTTAGTTCATCAGCAGCATTTTGCTATCATGTCTGTAAATTTACAAAATGTAAGGATTAAAAAAATTGGACATTGGAGCATGGATCTGATGAAACATTGCATGGTAATCCTGAATTCTAAGAAAAAAATGTAAATACATACAAAACAACACATCAAAAGATCTGACCAAAAACACTTCTGGTTGTTTCTTTAATGCATTAATCTCCCATATATCATTAATGTCACCTAATCTGCAACATGCAATCTGCTTCAAATAGTCTAAACACAGACATGCCCAGCAGTAACATAAGTTACTTGACGACTACACAAAACTGATAAATCTGTAGTAAGCAATCTTTTTTTTATTTATTTATTTTTACACACAAGGAGATTTTGTAAGTTTCACTAAGTGCTGCTATTCAGCTATTTGTTTTAGAACTGCAAAGCAGACCTTTTAATGTCCAATTCATCACTAGCCTGCAGATATTGTGCCTGCTGAGTTTGGCATAGAAAGCTCATCAAAGTGTGGTTGTGTTGTTAATTAGCTTTCTTGTTTTGTGTGTTGGCCTCAAAAAGTACTTCAGTTGCCTCAGTTCATTTATCATGTCTGCCTATTCAAGACAAAATATACTGAGTGTTCACGTTTTCTGGTACAGGAATAATTGATGAAGAAAGCTGGAACCAAAGATAGTCAAACCAAAAGGTAAGACACCAGT